GGCTGCGTGCTTTTCCAAGGTTATACAGAATGGGTCTAGCCTGGAGCTTCTTTGCTGCTGGATATGTTAGCCCTGATTGTGTTTAAACATTCAGAATAAAATTTTTGCTGCGTATGTAATGTAAAAAGCTATCATCTCAAAATAGCAAAGAAAGAAGTATTCTCTTTTTCTGCATACCTTTTATTACTAGACTATACCAGTATGCTACAAGAGGCTTCTCCTGGAGATTAGAGGCTGGTTAGCAAAGGAAGCTGCCCCTGCTCCTCTTCAGCTGCGTGTCACCGAGCATATCCCTGTCCTCTTGTGAGCCTCAGTTTCCCCACCTGCAGAGTAAAACTGGTACTCCCCTTTCTGAATGGACTTAATATCTAAGAGTGGAAAATTCTCTGGAGAGCTGCTTGTTATTTAAATCATTTTATGAGAATCAGACAAATAATGGAATTATTCTTCTCCCATTTATCTGCTTCAGGCTGTAATTATATGTGTGGAAGTACTGAAATGATTACGAACAGTATTATTAAACATGCAGTTATGGATGAGCTTTAGAAATGTGAATGTAAATTTTTAATCTAGGTATTTAGTGATTTATGTAAAATGTTTATTTTGATTTCCTGTGTACGTATCTTACACAGTGGAGGAAATGAATGTGTTCTCTGGAAATTTATTGAAGGAACCTGTAATGGTTCACTGTTTATAGGCAAGAATTTGAGAACAATCTTTTGGAATATTCATGTTTAACATAAATGATGAAGCTGTAAGTGATTTGAACAGATTATATTTCATGGGGTCAGTAAAATAGTTGTATCAGACTTTTGACAGAAAGTTTCAGGGTAACCTGGTTTTAGTCTGTCTTAACCAGGTCTCTCCATGTATGAAATAGAATGGCTTTTCTTCAGCATACAAACCAGAATCACTTGAGATAGCAAGTCAGGGAGCATTTCTGATATGCTAGGTCATGCAAATATGGATAGACCCTATGATGGCAGTGGGCCATAGTAATAAGCAACAAGGTGTCTGGAGTAGTCTGGGCTCCCTTTGAACTCATACACTGTGTCCCAATCCTGCTGCAATTAGCACCGTAGTGTCTCTTCTAGCAAGCATGGTGTGTAGCTGTCTTTCAGAAAAAAACACATATTCACCATCCCTATGGTCCTCTGTACAGAAGGCAGCTTGATGTAGATGGGGAGGCACAGTGCTGTCCTGAAACTGTAGGTAATGACCGATGCAAGTTAGGTCTGAGGATGTTGCACTGAGTGCAGAAAACTTCTCAGTCATGGTGTTCGACTGCTTATACTTTGTCTTGTTCATCCGTGGTACAACGTGAGTCCATTAATATGGCCTTAAGAGAAGGATGGAAAGAAAAAAGAACAATTCTTTTTAAAACACTTAATAGTTACAGTTAGGAGGATTTTGTATGTAGTATTATGTAGTAGTATTTTAAGATCATAAAACTCCAGTTGTATCTTTTTTAGAAAAAACTGGTGGAAAGGTTTTGAAATTACACTTTGTGTCACTGAGAGATCAAAAGAGATTAGACCTCAAACTTTTCACCTTTCCAGGATAGAATAACACCACTGTTACAGCACAGTTTGTCTGAAAGCGAAACATTCTTCTCTGTGAAAACATATTTTGGCAGTTTGCTGTATACATGTACTTTATTTTTGTATTGCAATTATACCTTCAGGCTTTGTTATGCTATTTACTGTACAATATATATTAAAAAAGACAGTTGCTGTCATTTTTGCTGCAAGAATCTGCAGTGTTAATGTATAGCAAAGGACAACTGACAAGGATAAACAGGGAAGGAAAGGGCAAAGTCACTGCAAATATGAGTTATATACCGTTCCTCAAATAAATATAAAGGTAAAGTATTGCTTTGCGTTTAATTCTGCTTACTTATACCCTGGAATTTGTCTTTCTGTGTATAACAGCTAATTGTCTTAGATCAACAAGTTTCACCTTTGGTTTTGAGGCAGGGCAGATAACAAACAGGTCCTGGGTCTCCCCCATATAGGTATTCTGGCAGGAATATGATGTGCTCCTGGAAGTGAATTTGAGTGCATTTGGCGGAGGGGGGAAAGCAAAGGGCAGCGACAGCGAGGAACTGAGTGCACCGCAGGCACCTGCCAGGAGGCAGGCATGGACAGTCTGCATGGGAACTCTCTGGGCTTTCAACAGCAGGTTCAGTCTAACAGGACTTAATGGTCTCCAGCTCAGCCCTGGCACGAGCCCTTTTGCCTCATGGGAATCTCCACGATGGTGCAAAAACCTCTGCAAACAGTACATGGGATCCATGGGTACATTGATCAGCAAGCTGCTTGGTTGAACACGTCTAGCTTCAAACAACAGGAGTAGTTGTGGTAATTTCAATCTGAGCGTGAACATTTGCCTCCTGTAAGGTAATACATGTAAAAATGCACACAAGTAGTTTATTTTACAGGGCAAGATTTTGTGAATGGACATGCCGTCGTGGTGTGGCTTGAGAAGATGGCTTTGGCAGCAGTGCTGGACCTGTAGCCCCACTTCTTGTCTCCACCCTTGTCCGGGTGTTGACACCACTGTCAGTTCCATGGTGCTGACCCAGAGGTTTATGGACTGTTGAATCATTAAACCACTGAAGAATTTATTTGGAATGATAAAACAAACAAGCAAGTGGCAGTTCCTGAAGGACTGTTTGGCTGCAGAAAAGAGGACAGAAGACACAGCTGGGGCAGAGTAGATGGGGAAACCTCAAACTGGCATTGCTGTGAAAGCTAGTTTGATGTTGAGCCACAACTGCAGGGTACATTGGCTAGTACCATGCGTCATTTGCCTATCAGGGAAGAAATAAAGAGAATATGGAATAATTTATTTCTGTTTATTGTCAGGAGTTGGGATTATTCTTAACTGCCTGCAGAGTGTTTGGGTGATAGGACTTGAACTGCAGAAGAGGGTGCAGCAGCAATTCAGTTTGTTGATGAGCTTAAAGGCTTCATCCTTTAGTCAAAACACAAAATTAAGGAGCTTAAGTGAACCATTGTTCAAATATAGTTTGCTTCCGTAGATTCTCCCTTATATCTGAAATAAATGTCGCTGTATATGTTAACCCAATGCTTTTTGTAAACCGATGTTAAACCCATACTTGTAGTTCTGCCGCAAGTCAACTTTTTTCCCATGCCTTCAAACAGATGTTGTGTAGAGGTCTTTTTACTTTACCAGAACTCTTTCCTGTAGGACTTTTTTTTTTTTTTTTTTTTTGCTTTACTCTTCCAGAATTCTTTGTTAAATATAAAATTTTCATTGCTTCTGGCCCCTTGTTGGATATTTCCAAGTTCTCTGTCCTATGCAACTTTTCTTGCAAACTCTACATTAAGACTTTCTCCTTCCCTTTTCCCACTTTTTTTTTTCTTTTCCCTCCTTCCCAAACATCTCCTACCTGTTTTTTCACTTAGATGGCACATCATGCTTTTCCTCAGAGATATCACTATTGTTGAATTTATATCTTGTATAAACTCACACACAAACCTGGGAGGAGGAAAGGTGGCAGCAGAATGAGAAATACAGCAACTTGAAGATGTGTATCTGCATGCGTATTTTACATTTTACAAATGTGAAATATCATAGTGCTATATGGTATTTTGCCTCTGCTTGCATTTCTGATCTTGATTTTTGTATGATGTTGAGTTTAAATTCACCAGACTATCTCCTGATAGATGTATTCAAAGATGAAACAGCTTCTTGATGTCATGAGGATTCCAAAATTAGATTAAAACTTGTTCTGGATGAGGGTGCTGAAATCTAGAATTAAATTTTAGAGATAATTTTAGTGGTTGCACAATATCATTCTTGATGATAACATTTCCAGAATGAGGAGTAAAATTAACTTAACAAAGTGAGGTGTGACATTAAATTTATCATTGATAGAGTCAAAAAGAAACTATTTGCACTTCACATTCAGCATTGTACACATGACTATAATAATGTTGACTATAATAATTCTTGACAACCTTCTTTCAAGAAACAGACGCAGGACACAGCCAGAAGCAGAACACTAGCCTTGAACAAATCAGTGATTTTTGTCACAAATTTTCTTTTGGAATTCTCTTATTCTCCAAAAGAAAAATGAACTAAAATTCCTTGATATATGAATATGCTAGAAAATATGCATTTTTATTTCTTCATATATGACTTTTGGAGGTTACTTTGAGGCATGTTATGTTTTCCTTTTGTAACACACAATATATAACTTTTTTCCTTCAATATATATATTTTTTTTTTTTAATCATTGGAAGTAAACATTATTCAGGATGTTCCAGGTGAAGTTCTGTGGGCTTCACTATTCAAGATACCAGACTAGCTTTTCACAATGGATCCCTGAAGGCTGTTAAAATCCATAATTGTATAAATGATGCAAGTGCTTAGAGTGTTCAGATTTTTATCCCAAGAAGAATTTTTTTTTTATCCCGTGTGAAGAGTAATCTCCCCCTTCAGGAAACCATTACAGTTCAGGAAAGATGCTTTGTTAAGTGCCTGACTTAAAGAGTACTTTGAAATAGCCTGGATGTTAAGTGCATACTGAAGAGTTGTTGTAACAGTCATCCCAATTCTTTCCAGACACAGATTTACTGTGGCTTTGTTTCCTACCAAGTCATGTAAAATGTCAAGGAGGAAAAAGGGGCTGTGTAATGTATCAAGTGGTCTGGGGCTGCATCATGCCTTGATTACAGAGGATAAAAATCCCAACACTGTAAATCTGAGTTGCATTAATAGATTTAGGCCCTTACAGGGATACTTCACCAGGACTCTTTTCAGTGGGTTTTTTACATACCACATGTTATTTATAAGCGTATGTGTGTTTTATTACTGAAAGGATGAGGTTTTATTTTTTAAAAGATTAAAGGGACAGGCCTATATACAATAATATGTGTGTATTCTCAGCTGTGTATACATGTGTGCACTTTATTCAACCTTATACACTGGTGTACATTAAAATTCGTGCTGGTTTTGCTGTTTTCTTCCAGGGGAAGACCCTGAAACAAGAAGAATGAGAACTGTAAAGAACATAGCAGACCTGAGACAAAATTTGGAAGAAACTATGTCCAGCCTTAGAGGGACCCAGATAAGCCACAGGTATACTGGTTTTGTGTAGACTACTAAAATTTGGACCGTAGGAGAGTATTACTACTTGCTGAATGAATTAGGGACTTGCAAGGGAAAATTAACTACAATGCTAACCATACCGTTTGCTAGACTGCCTCAACAACTTAAATGTGAATTTAATATACTTTACTGTCAAAGTGTCTTATACAGTCATTCTCAAAGACGGTTATCTTTTCACATACACCTACTTAGAAGGTTATAAAATTTATTTTAGGATATTTTATAAGTAGAAGTTATTCTATTCACAAGCACAGGTGTGCACATGGAGAAACACACACACACACACAGAACCTCTTAAAAAAATATACATTCTTCCAGCCCTTACTTTTCCTCTTTTCTCAGGAACAGAGACAGTTCACTGACTTCTCCATTTTGTTTGGCAGCACATTGGAGACAACTTTTGACAGCACTGTGACAACTGAGGTGAACGGGAGAAGCATACCAAGCTTGACAAGCCGGTCCACCCCAGTGACTTGGAGGCTAGGGCAGGCCAGTCCTCGGCTGCAGGCAGGAGATGCCCCGTCCTTGGGCGCTGGTTATCCTCGCAGCAGCACGAGTCGCTTCATGCACACAGACCCTTCTCGATTCATGTACACCACTCCGCTTCGCCGAGCAGCTGTTTCTCGCCTTGGAAATATCTCACAGATCGACATGAGTGAGAAGGGAAGTGGTGATTTGGACATGTCCTCTGAAGTTGACGTTGGTGGCTACATGAGTGATGGGGACATTCTTGGGAAAAGCCTCAGAACTGATGACATCAACAGTGGGTAAGTAGGACTTTTTCCCCATTTAAACTAATGCATGATCAGCAGGTTTAATAGGATTTTTCTAATAAATTCTGGCACACAAGTGAAAGTTGCATTATGGTTGCAACATAAAAATATACATATCAAAAAAACCAAACCAAAACAAAAATCAACCCCTAAGCTGCCAGTGATGTTCTCAGCTGCCTTCAAATTCAGTTCTTCTCCTTTAACATCAAGATGACTTGCTGTGCACTTTCGTAACAGCACAGGCACTTCTTATTACTTACTGGAATTTCTTAGTTATCTGCTAAACCATCATTTTGCATTGCTTGCCCTGCGATGGGTGTTCTTTCAGTATTTTTATTTGAGGTGGTAGACATGGTATTGGATGCAGCTGATGAAAAGCATTTGCTGACAGCACTGATTTCTCTGTTTCCACTTCAGATACTGTCTAGCATAATCTGTGTCATAGGACTTTATTGCAATTTTTCAGCTGTACACATCATCTGAGCTGTAGGAATATCTTTTCATAAAAGAATAGGTCATAAAAGAATGCTCTCCTGGCATATCCATGAGGAAGAATTAAAATTATTTTTATTTTTGTTTGCTTAATCAGTTGGATGACTTTAGGGTACTGCATTCCCTGTGTTTCAAATTACTATTTAGTAATTCTTGTAGCAATCTTGGAATGTAAGTCACTTCACTCCTATGTGTGTTAGAACTCCTAAAGCATCATTTTTAAAAAAAAAAGCCACATTATGGTTTTACTCATACTTAAATTGCTATTCAGTGCTGTTGTTGGCATCTCAAGGCTGCTTGGTGGCTGAAGTAAGACTGGGTTGAATAGAAGTCCCATAGAGTACATGGCCATGTCACACCACACCGCTTCACTCTGTATAAATTTAGGACTCTTGCTGTCAACCTAATCTTTAAGTTCGAAGTACAGCTATGATTAGAGAATGGCGGCTGATGAAATTGGATATGATCCATTCCTACAGGCAAATGTAAGTCTGTGATCAAAGCTCTCTCTAGACTAGTGTCTCACCTCAAGCACCGTCCAAAGATAGATCTCTAGAAAAAGCATAACTATAAAGAAAGCATATTCCTGTATCTCCCTGGTGCCCTGTCTCAGCTATCTGTGAATGGAGCACTGCTGACAAGGTTGTCCACAGCATAGCATTAGTGCCTGTCAAGTAGGATGCCATATTCATGTGTGCTAGAACAGACAAAAGGCATATGGAAAATGTAATACTTTAATGTCTGAAGATCTTTTATCATAAAGGAAATATAAATGCTGCCTTTGACGGATGGATGGATTTATTTAAAAAAAAAAAGATAGGGGAATCCTTTGCAGTGCCTGATGAGTTGTATTAATTAGCTTATCGCATTAGAGGATGAATACAGTAATCTTGTGTGACTTTTCTTTGCATCTGTAATACGGATGACTCAATAGACAGTAAGTTGCAATGTGCTCAGTTAACATTTTTAGGTGCGGTAAATGTTAAAAACAAGTTAATAAGCTCTGAAATTTCAGGATTCACTGAGGCATGTAAAGTCTTATCTCCTTTATGCCTCTTCCAGTATCAGTTTAATTACTTTAAACACTGGGGGACAGGAATGCAGCAGTAATTAGAAATTAGTGTGAGGAAGGCCTGTTGCACTCGTTAAGTCTCTCCATTCAGGCCTTACACAGGAAAAAAATCCGTATAGTCTAGATTGCATTTAAACCAGAGCTAAATTTAGTATGCAATTCCAGAGTCTTGGAACCTACTGTATAGTTCACCTCTAGCTAAATAATTTGTCAAAAAGTCTAAATTTTTTCTTTAATAAAAGGATAAATCTAGTGTCTAAGTGTGACTGTTAATTTACCTTTGAAAACAAACATGAAGCTACCTTCTGCATACCCCAGATACCGAGGTTTCAGAAATCCCTTGCTGAACTGCAGGCCAAATCTTGCCAGCGTGTAAAAAACCTCAGAGTTTAGTTAAAAACAAACCAACCAACCCTTTGTGTTTTAATGCGCTTGAAGTTGCCTTCAACCAAATCACCACCCAGGACACGATGCTGTTGCAAACTGTAGCTGTTACACAGGGCTACACTACCGCAGCTTTGCTCCCCAAATCTGCACCAGTTCACCCACCCCGAACCGTGGGGGTGGAGACTGGTGCTCCCAGGCTGCGGTATCAGCCCCGAGGTCTCTGGGACAGTTGGTTTCGATTAGATCAGCTCCCAGGAGGAATCGCAGAGAGAGGGCCAACAGAACATCTGGAGCACCAGCGGTGTGTGTGTGCCTTGGCTTGTGCCTGGGATTCCGTGTAGAGTAATTAAAGTTAAATGTTTGTGTACTTGGACACATGCTTCGACTGAAAGATGGGTTTGAGTGACACTGTTTTGTGGCTCAAGGAGAACTTGTGTTAAAGATTATTTGAATTGGGAGTGAACTCCAATAGATCGTTTTAGCCATCATCCTAGCATTGGGGCTGTACTTATTTCAGTAGGCCTGTGATTTTACTTTGAGTATGCTCTTTGAGTTATGCCAATTTTTTTTCTATATACATATACCTCTATGTTAAGTGCCATACACATGCACAGTCCTTCACAAGTAGATTTGTGTGAACTCTGTACTAGGTTGCTGTGCTAAAGTTACCAAAAACTGCAAGAGGAAAAAACAAGAGCCTAAGAGGGAAGATAATTTAATGAAAGGTCCTTTGAGAAAATAATGGACAGGTCTTGAGAGTAGGACAGGCTTGTGGTACTGCTCAGTAATAAGCACCAAGACCTCTCATAGAAATAACTGAACTGTAGGTAGGCATTCCAGAAATTATTGCTGCTGCTTGAAATTCAGAAACTTTTAATGGTTCTCTAGTGAGTAAGCAGTACTACACTCACTGTGCAGTTCATTAGTCATTCATTATAATGTGAAGTGGTGGGAATCAAGCAAAAGGAACACAGAGAGAAACATATTCTGAAATGTCATTGTAAGGGCTTCAGCGGATATCTCTTTCACATCTGAATAACTGCATCCCAGCAGGGACTACAGATTTGGGTTCTCAATTTCTGTTCCCATTTAGATAGATGCTACTGATTTTTCTCCTTTTTTTTTTTTCTTTTTTAACTGGAGTTATGCTTCTTGCATCTGGTGCTATTCTTTGACAAAACTGCAGTACTTAAAATGTACTTAAAATTTTTGAAGATAGAGGGCTTCAGTCTAAATATATTTTAGTAAAACAGATTGGCCTGTAAGCCATCACAGAAAAAGGCAAATGGTCCTAGAAAACAGGCATATATCTCGTCTCCCTGCACTGGGCACACAAAGTGAGAATATTTAGTATGAGCCTACCATCTAATAGGACAGCTCATACCTTAAACCTTTGAATTCCACAGTCCATTAACTTTAGAGTGAAACACGGTTGCCAGATGGCTGCATTTCCCACTGATTGACCACACATTTATTTTCAGGTACATGACAGATGGGGGACTCAACCTATATACCAGAAGTCTGAACCGAATACCAGACCTAGCTGCCTCTCGAGACGTCATTCAGAGAGGGGTTCATGACGTGACTGTGGATGCAGACAGGTAACAGTGCTTTGCTAAGTAAAAAGCTGTCTGAGCTTTACAAATACCTTTCATCCTTCATACCTGCTAATATATCACCATTTAGTTCATAAGCAATAGCAAAACAAAGCAAACTTCTGAGGCTGCTACATTTCTGAGCACGCAATACGCCAAATACCACAATGAATGGGGAAAAGGCAAATTTCTCACATGGAAAGGGGACTTAGGAAGAATTTATTGTTGAAGATATAAGAGAAAATATTAAGAACCCCAGACCTTACTTGCAATCTTGACTCTCTGAAACAGGATGTGATTTTTACGAGTGTTTTGTCAATTGATAGGCATAGGAAGAGTATGCAGGGTCTGTAGTCAGCAGTGAGCTTGTGTGTGCCTGATGATATGAGTCAGAACATGCATTTAGTGTTGTCTGGAACCAGAATCCTGGTCTTCTCCACCCATTTTGCCCTCTGTGGGTGTCAGACGGAGGCAGTACCCGTGAGCAGTGGGAAGTGAGAATTGGGGTTATACCCCATTGTCTATGCAGCGTGAAAAAAGAAACAACACTATCCAGCCCTTATACATGTATATATGGGTGTGAGCATAAAAACATGCTCCCACTAGTACTTCTGCAGATTAGGCGAGAGTTTTCTGTTTCTTTTCCTTGAGCTTAAAGTAAATTCATATTGGTGGCTTGTATCCATGTCTGAGAAATAAAAATTCATAATCCAACTTTTGCAGAACTTAAAGCTGTCAGCTCTGAGGTTTTGGTCAGACCATTATAGAGATAAGGAGCAGCTGTGAAATTTGGCAGTCCTCAATTTTAGGGAGTTGATTTCAGTCCCATCTTTTTAAAATTAAGTTTCTTATAAGGAAAAAAAAATTATTTGATCAGGAACAGAGAAAAGATTCACATAGTGGCTCTGGTTTTACAAACCCAGCAAATTAGTTGAAGAAATTCTAGGATATTAACCTAGGTATGATATAATTTTTACTTTTCATGGTTTTCTGGTGAAAATATGCCTGTGACACAAATCAGGGATAGTCTGTATTAGTCAAACAGTGCATGTAATGCATCAGGATAAATAAGGTAATTTTCATCTAGAGAACCAGTTACTTAAAATACAAGGTTGCTTTAGCTGACATACTAGCATTCGTTGACCTTGCAGAAAAGCCTATTTTAGATAGCAATTCAAATGAACACGGCTCAGTTCTTTGGAACACAAGTATTGACGTGGTGCAAAGACCAGAGAAAGTGTACAGTAGGCGTTTAAGAAAATAATTTGGATAGAACTCAGGCAGTGACAGAAGGAGAAAATGAGAAATGCGATGTGGGCAGGAGGGACTTTTGTGCAGCTCTGTATGTGAGAACAAGAACCTTAAGCTGGAAGTGGGAGAGAGGGTGGAAAATTTAGAGGCTGGGAGTCCTGTAATTAAAGACAGAGAATGGCACTAGCGCCCACGTTTTTCTATGTCTCTGTATCTTTTTTTCACCTGGGAGTGAAGTTATTAGAGCTCTTCCCACCATGCAATATTCACACCCATGTTTCAAACCACGCACTTTTTCACTGAAAAAAACAAAACAAAACAAAACAAAAAGAGGTCCAAATTAAGAGATTTTAAAAATTTTTCTTAGTATTCCTCAAACTCTAGATGCCACTCAAACACTTTGTGTTTGTTTTGCTTTGAAGTGATATTTAGTAATGTATGTGTTAATTTGTTCCATAATAGTGTGCAGGTATATACATGTTTTGCATGTGAAACCACAGGGAGGCTATCACCATTTCTTGATTAATGAGATTGTCCAGCATTTCCCAGTACATAAATCTGTTTTGGTTTGTTTATACAAATTTGTCAGACTGGCTAAAAATGTTGTGCTAAAAACTACTCTACTGTTTCCAAGTCTTTCATCTCCGAGTCTATCGCTTGTCAGGTTGTGGAGCAGTGACTTCAAATTTGTCAGGAGATAATTTTGGGTCTTGAGTGAAAGGCTGACCGATTTTATGCAAGATACAAGGCTTTTAAAAAAATGCAATTCATGTGTATTCAGGAAAGATTTATTTGATCTCAACAACTAAAATCACAATATATTCCATCTTCACTGTGCATTTGCAAACTGGTCTTGACACTAGCAAACTGCAAGAGCAAGCTCCAAGGTTATTTTTGAGCTTAAAGCCTACAGATGTGAGGTAGGATTTACTTTGTAACGACTGCTTTCCCTTACATAAAGAACAAAAGCTGGACTCCTTTACTCTTCTGGATCCTCTAAACAGAGTGTCATGGAGCATACTGTATGCTATCATGTAATTAAAAACTTCATCATAATGCACAGACGTCAGGGATTTAAGTTATGGATGTTCAGACAATTCTGGCATTTCCTGACCTTTCAATGCTTGATTTTTACAGCCTTAATTGTGCTTTGTTGACATAGATTTTGTGTGTGTGTGTATAAGTGTATTCTCTTCCTTGAAACAGCAAAAGGTGTTTAGGAAGTGGAAAAAATTAAATATTTTTATGAGTTCGGATGATAACAAAACATGTACTTGCCAAAACAGGTCACAAAACACCTGTATTGGGTCGAACACACACTCAAAATTGTGTATGCTGACGTTCAACACTGTATGTCACCTATATATGAAATCAGGTGGAAAAAACAATACTGAGACTCTCACTTTGTTTGGCAGGATAGGTTTGGGTCCTTCACAACAGCGTGGGTACCTGAGATTTCATCTTATCTCACAGAGCATTTTAGATCTATTTTTTCTACTCTGAAATAAAAATAATAGGGTTTGTGTCAGGGCTTCAGGGTGTGCCTTGCCACTGATATAAGGAACTTCCATGAAAGAGGATTATTCTCCTCTCTGTTATCCCTGTAGATACATGAAGGACATATGTATTTTCTCTATGGTATCATTAGTATAAACCTTTTTCAAATTGGCATGATTTTTCCTGGCCTTTCTGTTGTAAAGAACTCTGATGCCATCTCTGTGCAGGCAGAAAATAAATTATATGCTGCAAATATCTGATTTACATTAGCAAGCAGGAGAGAAGTTTCAGTAATCTGTCCATCACTACAGCCAGCAACTTTTGCTGACAGCAACCCCATGCTCTTCATCAGAACTGAACTTGAGTTTTCTCTGACAACCTAAATTACAGATTCTGCTTATATTTTAATTTTTTTTCTTTTTGTGAGCTGGCAGTACAGTATCATTCAGATAGTTGGGCTGATGATATCTCTAAGGGTACTGCCATTTCTGGCAAATGTATATTTTCAGACTGATTCTCATTTCATGTATAAATCAGGAATAATTCACTGAAATTAAGGGCACGGAACTGTTGTAAAAAGGCAGTCATGTCCCCAGTTTGATTCCACTCTAAATTGGTTTCAGATAGCACCTACATCTCCACTTCTTGCCAAAAAACAAAGGATTGAAGGATCTCCATGTGGAAACCTAGCCTGAGAGAGCTCATCCAAATAATTCTATTGAATTGCTCTTTGAACAACTTCATTAAAAAGTTAAATTCGTGAATGCAATGTAAGCCAAGGCTTAAATACTGCTCGCATACTGCTCTGGAAAGCACATTGGTGTAGAAAGGGATACAGGGTATTTGCTTGTTCTAGGGAAAG